TATATCAAGGGAAGTTTGTTGGGGGGAAGAAGCTTCTTCCTTTCATTAATATGGAAGCACAGGTATAGATCATAAATCACATTATTGCACACATGGAAGCTACCTAGGTGCACATTATAGATCGGACAGATATTGGACAGTGTAGTATCTCCATGTTTGATATGAAGTATCTTAAATAGGACTCTGGAGGGCTGTTGTTCGTTGTAATATTTACAAGTATTGAGCAGGATTTTTGTCATCTGTTACAAATATATTTTGTACTGTTCTGGAGCCGAACAAAAATGTAATTCTCTAGATGAACAGAGCTGTTGCGGGAAAGTTCATTTCTTGGATAATTGATATAGTTAAGATAATCTGTTGTCTTATATCAATCATCATCCTCCAATTAGCATAAGACAACATTGGGGCCCCCCCAGGCGGTGTGCATAAAATCTATAGTGAAGAAATGTAAATTTGTTACCCGAGTTGCAACTAGCAGTTGGCCTTGTTAATGCTGAACCCCAGATAAACGGTTACATACATACAAGCCTGCTAACTGTTTGTAATACCATTCAGACAGTCCTTTGATTCAGACTCCCCTGCATGGCAGCATAGACAGGTCCTGAAACTCCTGACAGCTGAAGGAAACCTGTACTGAGAGAACATAAAGACTGTAGTTGCTGGCATCTCTTTCTGAAAATGTTACTTGCCAAGTTATGTTGATCCAACAACATTTATATTTGTCACCGACTTGGGACAAGTTTACAGGTTCTGATGTCACGCTTTCTAATCTGCATGCTTGTTCCAGGTCAGTGAGTCAGACAGTACTGCATGCATAGACTGCCAAGCAGGTAGACTTTTAAAAAGGAAGTTAACAATGGAAGTTTGTGTATTCAACTGGACTTCCACTGCAAGTGTTTGATCACCTTTACAGGAAAAAAAAAATGTAAAAAGGTGAACTAGCACCAGGCACCCTCCCCACCCCCCACTCTACTTGCCTCCAAGGTTGCCAAGCCACAAGGTTGCCACATTGATTCACTGTGACTGTGCTTGTCAATCAGAATCTTTCTGGTTGGGCTCAGAAACCCTGCGTGGAAAAGAAGAGCGGGAGCTTCACTTCCCCCAGACCACTGAACAGCTTAGCAACCCCAAAGGTAAATACAGCAGGGACTGATTTGGAGGGTGACCAGCGTTCACTCTGAAATTTTTTTTTTACGTAAAAGGAAAACTAATCCTATAAATTTAGTCTTGGTTAAAATTATTTAGTAGCTCAGGTCAAAATCACCTGTGGTGAAGAGATGGAACAAAGTGTTCCCCACAGTGCAAGCCGCACAAGCAGTATACAATCACACGTGATAGCATTATTCTGCAATGAGGTGCCATTTAATCACATTTGTCTAGCTAGGTGAAGCCATTTGTTCCATCAGTTAGGTGTTAATCTTGAACCTACCACAGCTTACTAAGTGTCTTAATTGCTTACAACAACCAGATAATTCCTTTCAGGCACCCTTGTTAGAAGGGATGGAAGATTTGGGCATTGTGGGCTGCTCAAACTTGTGTGGCAAACCTGCTTTTTGTCTAGTACAGCTGCAATAATGAAACCCAGCAAATTTGTTATACATGTTCCATGCTTCACCTATATTTTAAACTAAATCAACCATCTGCAAGTGACATAAACGTCTCTTAACCACTTGCCCTCCAGGGGCTTTACCCCCCCCCCCCCTTACTGACCAGGCCATTGTTCTGCGATAAGGCGCTGTGTTACTTTGACAACTGCGTGGTCATGCAACACTGCACCCAAATGAAATTTATATCCTCCTCCCTCACCCACCCCAATAAGAGCCTGCTTTCGGTGGTATTTGATCACCTGTGCATTTTTTTTTTGCGCTATTAAAAAAAAACCTGACAATTTTGGAATAAAAAAAAAAAATTTCTTCATAAAAAGGTGTAAAAGGTGAACTAGCACCGGGCACCCTCCCCACCCCCTACTCTACTTGCCTCCAAGGTTGCCAAGCTCTCAGCACTTCTGCAGCTGTGTGGAGATATGAAATCCGTGTACTGCTTCCAGGATAGATCACATTGATTCACTGTGACTGTCCTTGTCAATCAGAATCACCTGTATTTGATCACCTGTGCATTTTTTTTTGCGCTATTAAAAAAAACCTGACAATTTTGGAATAAAAACAAAACAAAAAAAACCGAATTTCTTCATAAACTTAGGCCAAAATGTATTCTGCTACATGTCTTTGTGGGAAAAAAAAAATCCCAATCCATGTAAATTGATTGGTTTAAGTAAAAGTTATAGCGTTTACAAATGGTGGTATATATACTGGAATTTCTATATATAATTTATTTTTTTATACACACTAGTAATGGCGGTGATCAGCGACTTATAGCGGGTTAATGTGTGTCCATGTGCTGATAGTCCTAAATAGTTGTAGGTCTTCACAGATGCTTTAATTCCAAAATTACTTCTTAGAATACCCGATGCTTCTATATACTGCAAACCAATAAGCATTGTGTATTCACCTCCAGCAGATGTGCTCTCACCTGATGTACAGTCAGGTCCATAAATATTGGGACATGGACACAATTCTAACATTTTTGGCTCTATACACCACCACAATGGATTTGAAATGAAACGAACAAGATGAGCTTTAACTGCAGACTGTCAGGTTTAATTTGAGGGCATTTACATCCAAATCAGGTGAACGGTGTAGGAATTACAAAAGTTTGCATATGTGCCTCCCACTTGTTAAGGGACCAAAAGTAATGGGACAATTGGCTTCTTAGCTGTTCCATGGCCAGGTGTGTGTTTATTCCCTCATTATCCCAATTACAATGAGCAGATAAAAGGTCCAGAGTTCATTTCAAGTGTGCTATTTGCATTTGGAATCTGTTGCTGTCAACTCTCAAGATGAGATCCAAAGAGCTGTCACGATCAGTGAAGCAAGCCATCATTAGGCTGAAAAAACAAAACAAACCCATCAGAGAGATAGCAAAAACATTAGGCGTGGCCAAAACAACTGTTTGGAACATTCTTAAAAAGAAGAAAAGCACCAGTGAGCTCAGCAACACCAAAAGACCCGGAAGACCACGGAAAACAACTGTGGTGGATGAGCGAAGAATTCTTTCCCTGGTGAAGAAAACACCCTTCACAACAGTTGGCCAGATCAAGAACACTCTCCAGGAAGTAGGTGTATGTGTGTCAAAGTCAACAATCAAGAGAAGACTTCACCAGAGTGAATACAGAGGGTTCACCACAAGATGGAAACCATTGGTGAGCCTCAAAAACAGTAAGGCCAGATTAGAGTTTGCCAAACGACATGTAAAAAAGCCTTCACAGTTCTGGAACAACATCCTATGGACAGATGAGACCGAGATCAACTTGTACCAGAGTGATGGGAAGAGAAGAGTATGGAGAAGGAAAGGAACTGCTCATGATCCTAAGCATACCACCTCATCAGTGAAGCATGGTGGTGGTAGTGTCATGGCGTGGGCATGTATGGCTGCCAATGGAACTACTTCTCTTGTATTTATTGATGATGTGACTGCTGACAGAAGCAGCCGGATGAATTGTGAAGTGTTTCGGGAATATTATCTGCTCATATTCAGCCAAATGCTTCACAACTCATTGGACGCTTCACAGTGCAGATGGACAATGACCCAAAGCAGACTGCAAAAGCAGCCAAAGAAGTGGAATGTTCTGCAATGGCCAAGTCCATCACCTGACCTGAATCCGATTGAGCATGCATTTCACTTGCTGAAGACAAAACTGAAGGGAAAATGCCCCAAGAACAAGCAGGGACTGAAGACAGTTGCAGTAGAGGCCTGGCAGAGAATCACCCGGGATGAAACCCAGCATCTGCTGATGTCTATGCGTTTCACACTTCAGGCTGTCATTGACTGCAAAGGATTTGCAACCAAGTATTAAAAAGTGAAAGTTTGATTTATGATTATTATTCTTTCCCATTACTTTTGGTCCCTTAACAAGTGGGAGGCACATATGCAAACTGTTGTCATTCCTACACCGTTCACCTGATTTGGATGTAAATACCCTCAAATTAAAGCTGACAGTCTGCAGTTAAAGCACATCTTGTTTGTTTCATTTCAAATCCATTGTGGTGGTGTATAGAGCCAAAAATGTTAGAATTGTGTCCATGTCCCAATATTTATGGACCTGACTGTATATGACCAGACCGCTAAGTGAGATCATAAATGGCATGTGTCCCTTATATATGGACTGATGTCTTGTGTTCAATTGGCATGAATCTCCTCCACTCTTAGCTCACCTTATCCAAATATGCACCAAAAAAGAGATGACCAAAAACATGGCGCTTTATCCTTACAAAACATTTATTGATAAAATATCCAGTATTCCACTCACATGTGTGATTGTGAATACACACGCCTATTGGTTTGCAGTATATAGAAACACGGGGTGTTCTAAGTAGTAATTTGGAATTAAAGTGTTTGTGAAGATATACAACTATTTAGGACTATCAGCACATGGACACACATTAAGAGCACTTTACAGAGATGGTTAATTTGGTTTAAAATATAGGTGAAGCGCAGCACTTGATTGATATGTTATCTAACACATTTTGTATGGGAGTGTGATTAGTGTGAGTGATTCACAATTTTATAACAAAAATGTTGTTATATTTTTGGTTTTGCATAGCAGCTCACAAGACTTTGCACTTTATACATATTTACTTTTCCTTTCCTCCAGATATACAGGACTTACATTTCCACCCCCAAGCTCCTCTTAACCAGTCGAAGAGGTCACAAGTATAGAAACCATATTCCTAAGCCATGGCAAACACAATAACATTTCTACGATCACCAGAAAAAATTAAATATTAAAATTTATTCTAATTATTTACAATTTGAACGCTCTTATAAGTTAAGGTTGATGGAAAATATTAGTGCAGAGATGTCTATGGACGGGGTGGGATAAAGGGATGGAATACAATGATTGGATCTTTATTCAGATAGTGGTATGATCAGTATGCTTTGGGTCAAAGCTTGCTTTTTGGCGGATCCTCACGCACATGGAATACGCCTTCCTGGGCACATGTGACAGCCAGGACACCATCTCTTCTCCATAAGCGGCCATGAACTAGCCCACGACTGTTACCTGGGTATGGAAAGTAATAGTGAACTGGCTACAATTCCATTTCAGCACAAGAAATCCCCCACAAGTATTTAATACATGATTTGCACAACTACTTCTAGGCATTATATACATGGCCTAGGATGCACAAGGGCTACATCAGATGTGTGATCCTGTTGCCAGCATATGTAATCTAGGTACGAGCAATCTCAAAAAAACATTATCAATTAAAAACACCACTTATGAAACACGTGGTCATTTGCAACAGACTGAAAATATTGTTAAAAAAATATGTATGTTTAGGATCGATTCATTGACCTGTAATATGACAGTCAGAGTCCAAAATGATCAAGAGTTCATGAAAATGATTGAATAGAAGGTTTTTCAATTTAGGTTTTTTTTCCCCCTTTTCAAAAACTAATAGTATGATGAATGATTGATTGTACAATCAATGATTGATTGTATTGATGTGCGTGGCCATCATACTTTTTCCTTTGCCCCTTCCCCACTGGGCTAACCAGAAAAATGATGCTCTTTGCTGGTAAGATTCTGCAGCATCATGGGCCAGTGTGGAAGCAAATCTGCTAAACTTCTTAAACTGGCTCCACGGGTGATCTATTTGCTACTAGGAAATCTAATCACTTCTTGAAAATCATATGAATTATTAAAACTGCACTTTGATGAGCGTACTGCGCCAACACACAAACACTATTGCCCTTACCAGCCCAGTGGCTTTCACACTCGTACAGCATCCAGTCATCCGCTCTGAATGGAGCATGGAACCACATAGAATGGTCAAGTGAAGCCATAAATGCCATTCGAAGATTAAGGTGAGGCAGGGCAGCTGTTCCCAGGAAAGAATAATCTGAAATATAAGCAGCTACACAGCAGTGCAGCTTCATGTCTCCAGGACCTAATAAAAAATACAAATAAAAAGAAGAAGAGGTACAGAATTTTTACTTTATATTTACTCCTAATATTCAAAAATTGCATTTTTAATATACTTATACATTTCTAATAAACCATTAATGCAAAATTTTAAATTCTTCAAAATCTTTATTGAAGCTAAAACAAATTGTAGCCTCTGTACAAGCCAGTATGAAATACTGTACCTTGTTGTCCACTGTAACCATGTCCCTAAAACTTCAATAAAAATTTGCTGAAACTGAAAATGTTGAGTCATTAGAATGGATGACAGGCATTACTGGATCATAAATACATGTAACCTATAAATCTAAAAAAAAAAGTGAAATAGTAGCTATATGTACTCACTGGCTTAGTGTATGTTGAATACAATGCAGCTCAAATCTGTGAACTAGTGGGGAGGTGAAAAACAAACAAAACAGTTTCTCTCATCTAAGAGGGTAGCCTGCAAGCCATAGCACACCTCCTTCAAATGAAGGGGAAACTTTTTTTTTTGTGAATTAGTTCTGGACAAGAATTAAATTAAAAAAAGATCTAGAGTAGAGGGATTAGAACACCTACTAGGTTTGTATTGCTGTCTGTGCTGCTGTTAGGGAGATTCACCCTCTGTTTGTCTTGTTTACGGTTATAATCAAAAGTGAAGGTAAAGAAAACCCCAAATTTTGGGTTGTCCTCAGAAATGTAATAGAGGGGACATTTTCCAATGGGGACACTAATTCTGGTAACCTGGGGGTCCCCAAGAAATTCCCTTAATTTGCAGGGGATTCTCACTTCCTGTTTGGCTATGGGACAGGAAGTGAATGTAAATCTCCCTAATGGGACACAGATGGCAAAAAATAAACTGACAGTGGTTGTAACCCCCCCTTTACTACATCTAAAATGTGGAAAAAAAAAAAAAAAAAAAAAGTGTGCCTATAGTTCTACATTATATAGTGAAAAATACACCAGTAAAGATGTCCCCCCCCCCGTTTCTTTTATAAAGATCAGATCTCGCTTGCCTCTCAGCCCCAATTTGCCTATGGATGACTATTCAGCATCTTCCCCATCCAAGAGGGAAAACACCCCCCCCCCCCCCCTCAACATTTCTTTTTTCCTTCCCTTCATTAACCCTACTGTGCATTTTCTTTTCTGCTTTTGCCGTGCTGAGCGTTTTAAAAGCACAAGTGACTTAAAACTTAAAAACTGCACCTAAAACGCTTCCCAGAGGAGTTTTTGAGGGGCTATTGATTTCAATGGGAAGAGGCAGTTTTGAGTGTTTTTTTTTTTAACTCACCAAACATGCCCCAAGCAGGAGTTTTTACACCGCACCGCCTCAGTGTGAAAACATACAGAGATATACATTCACATACACAGGGAAGCATTTTTTAGCTTTTCAGGTGTTTTGTTTTTTTTTTTTTTAAATGCAAAAACGATTCAAAAAACTCCTCAGCGTGAAAGTAGCCTTAGTCTATCTCTGCAGTCTTTTTATTTGAGTGGTTTTCTGTTTACCTGCAAAACATAAAACATGGCTCAGAGTTGAACTTTTCTTATTGATTGTTAACAGCTCTTCGGTGTCATGATCAATATCTTCATGGGTTTACCTATCCTCCCTGTACTTGTATACACTTAATAATGATGTTGTGATGTAGAGTACCCAATGGTCTATTTTTCATATGGGGCTGTTTAATGTTTCTTTTCTTATGTTCTGTATCACATTGCTGAATTCTTTGACTACTAAATAAAGAATTTACCCTCCCAGGGTACGTGTCACCGAGTTGGATACATGCTGGTCCCAGGGCAGTCCTAAATCATGTAATGTTGCCAGCCAAACCTACATGAACACTTTTTTAAAATAGGTTTGTTACAAATATGGGTAAATCAGACAGGAAATTGTGAATGTACATAAGCTGAGGGGGGCCACTTTAAGCTACAACTACAAAAGCAATTTGCCAATGCTTTGACCATGGCCACTGACCTCTTCTGCCAGTCATTTTTCATAATTTTTTTTTTCATTTGGGGATTAGTGTGATGGTAGATAATGAGGCACAGGGGGATTAGGCCAAGCTTGCGAAAAAAAAAAAAAAAAAAAAAATTATACACACACACGAAACTAAAAAAAATTAGAATATCGTGCAAAAGTTCATTTATTTCAGTAATGCAACTTAAAAAGGTGAAACTAATATGAGATAGACTCATTACATGCAAAGCAAGATAGTTCAAGCCATGATTTGTCATAATTGTGATGATTATGATTACAGCTCATGAAAACCCCAAATCCACAACCTCAGAAACTTAGAATATTGTGAAAAGGTGCAATATTCTCGGCTCAAAGTGTCCCACTCTAATCAGCTAATTAAGCCATAACACCTGCAAAGGGTTCCTGAGCCTTTAAATGGTCTCTCAGTCTGGTTCAGTAGGAATCACAATCATGGGAAAGACTGCTGACCTGACAGTTGTGCAGAAAACCATCATTGACACCCTCCATAAGGAGGGAGAGCCTCAAAAGGTAATTGCAAAAGAAGTTGGATGTTCCCAAAGTGCTGTATCAAAGCACATTAATAGAAAGTTATGTGGAAGGGAAAAGTGTGGAAGAAAAAGGTGCGCAAGCAGCAGGGATGACCGCAGCCTGGAGAGGATGGTCAGGAAAAGGCCATTCAAAAGTGTTGGGGACTTTCACAAGGAGTGGACTGAGGCTAGAGTCAGTGCATCAAGAGCCACCACACACAGACGGATCCTGGACATGGGCTTCAAATGTCGTATTCCTCTTCTCTAGCCGCTCCTGAACAACAAACAACGTCAGAAGCGTCTTACCTGGGCTAAAGAAAAACAGACCTGGTCTGTTGCTCAGTGGTCCAAAGTCCTCTTTTCTGATGAGAGCAACTTTTGCATCTCATTTGGAAACCAGAGTATGGAGGAAGAATGGAGAGGCAAACACTGCAAGATGCTTGAAGTCCAGTGTGAAGTTTCCACAGTCTGTGTTGATTTGGGGAGCCATGTCATCTACTGGTGTTGGTCCACTGTGCTTCATTAAGTCCAGGGTCAATGCAGCCGTCTACCAGGAGATTTTGGAGCACTTCATGCTTCCTTCTGCAGACGAGCTTTATGGGGATGCTGACTTCATTTTCCAGCAGGACTTGGCACCTGCCCACACTGCCAAAAGCACCGAAACCTGGTTCAATGACCGTGGGATTACTGTGCTTGATTGGCCAGCAAACTCGCCTGACCTGAACCCCATAGAGAATCTATGGGGCATTGACAAGAGAAAGATGAGATACACGAGACCGAACAATGCAGAAGAGCTGAAGGCCGCTATTGAAGCATCTTGGTCTTCCATAACACCTCAGCAGTGCCACAGGCTGATAGCTTCCATGCCACGCTGCACTTAGGCAGTAATTGCTGCAAAAGGGGTCCAAACCAAGTACTGAGTACATACGCATGCTTTTCAGAGGTCCGATATTGTTCTATGTACAATCCTTGTTTTATTGATTGCATGTAATATTCTAATTTTCTGAGATTGTGGATTTGGGGGTGTTCATGAGCTGTAAACCATAATCATCACAATTATGATAAATCACGGCTTGAACGATCTTGCTTTGCATGTAATGAGTCTCTCATATATTAGTTTCACCTTTTAAGTTGCATTACTGAAATAAATGAACTTTTGCACAATATTCTAATTTTTCGAGTTTCACCTGTGTGTAATATATATATATTTTTTTATTATTTAATAAAGTAAAAAATTGCATATAGTGCAAATTGCCTGTATTTAATGGTAACCTTGACTTAAGCATTTGCTCAGCTTGAATTACTCTGCTGTATGATTAGTGTAGCTGGTCAGAAACCAGCGTCATCTATGAATACCAAATTTATCCAGTACTGCATGGATGCATGCCCATAGTGGTTGTAACTGTATAAACACATTATTTTGTGCGTTTGCAAACTGAAGCAAAAAAATAGTGAGCCTCATTAATTGAGACATAAGAGACTGTAGACTTTCAAAAGGTTTTTATTGTATTAACTAGGTATTATTATAGTTAATATTCCCTGCAGGCTCACGTTGAAGCTACAGTTTGCAGTATTATGGATAATCGATTCATGGATGATCGATTCCCCTATGTCCATGAACTGCTTCAGCTAGCTTTTCCATATGCACCAAAAGGAACAAGACGGCTTCCTGTTCTGGGTCACATGACACCCATTGCATGCCCTGAAATCTGTTTGTCACATTACAAATGTGGGACTCCTAATAGAATGAAACATTTCCAAACTACAGGTGAGCTCTCTGTGTTTCTGAATGCTCTGCCTGCTTGTGTCTGGCAGATCTAATTACTGTGTAGTTCTCACCTGCACCAGCACTAGACAGAGACCCAGAAATTGTGTGATATATACAGGAAATGACAGCTCTCACAATACAGATTGAGGTCATGCATTAACCTCTGCAGTGCCATACAGCATGACTCACATTTCCACACAAACTGCTGCCACAGGAATGTAAAGCTTTAGTTACTATAGATTGTGTGTACTAGATGACAAAGTACATCATAAAAACATGATCACTGCAAATCTTATGCAGGTAGGAGGGTTTACAATGCATTTAAGTGTTAAAAGTCATCCTCGGATTCCAGCTGCTTTTTTCCCAATGTAGTCAGAAAATCGAATAAAAAGCACTGGTTAATTGTTTCAGGCAACGAAGGCATTTTCCTTTCCTCTGCTTATGCATGCAGCTCTGTAGGTCACAACATTTAGAAATCTTGACATTTAAACAATGCTGTAGATATGCTGCCATTACCTATAATACCCTTGGCTCGTACCCAGAACATCTGTCGTGGCTCCTGTGGCACCCGTTGATACATGTCGGGTGGATTTACAGGTTTGATCTCAATTGGAACATCCTGTGCCAGGATTTTAGTTAGGCCTTGTCTATGTCTTTCCACCAGTTTAGGATTCCTGTTTGGGAACAACAACACACTTTACATTATTTCTACATCAACATTTAAAGCCCAATTGAACTATCCTGTAAACAGATTTCTGGTACAAATAAAATGTTAAGTGATCAGTCTTAGGGCTCATGTACACGTGGTGTTTGGAAACTCTTCTGAACAATGGAAACTGACTGCTGGAAAACGTAGGTTAAAAAAACATCAGTTTAGCCGCATTTTGCATACTGCGTTTATGCGCTTTGGTGTTCAGAAGGGTTTTAAAAAAAAGAGAACCTCAAGAGACCCTCCCAAATGCCCAGAATGCACTGCAAAATAGTAAATAACTATTTCAGACATTTTGAGAGAATAGAGAGAGCAGAAGCAGAGAAAGCAGTATGTGTTGAGATTACCTGTCTTTTCGGATGTATTCACTATGGATCCCATCATGAGCATAATGCGGCACGTTCTACCATTTTGTTTTTCATGCAAAACCTGGAACTGACTGCGCTGGTGTACCGGGTCCATTTGAATACATGGAAAATGCTTTGCATGCATTTCTGATGAAAAAATGCTCTGGACAGCATCAGGATATGGAACAGTTAAAAAAAAAAAAAAAAGCTTCTAAACGCAAACGCTTATAAAAACGCAGTTAATCGCGTTTATATGTGGTCATGGACACATAGGAAATCATTAGGGAGAGTTCAGGGGCTGCTGAAAAAAACAAAAACACAAGCTGAACAGCTCTTGAACGTCAGTTTAGCAGCTGCAGTGTACATGAGCCCTTACTGTTCATTTGGCTGGTAAAGCAGCCCCCAGTATAATAGGCTGTCCATGCCATCATGCTGCAGAGGAGAACAGCTGCTCTTTGTGGAAGAAGTGGCGTCTCTGATGGTCTGGCATGCCCCCTGTAAGTCAGAGCTAGAGTTCTAAATCAGCAAAGTTCAAGCCCCCTGCGGATTGGAAGGCTCTAGATCACAGGGGGCATAACATACTACTGCAAAGAGGCTGCTCTGCCTTCAACTAGCTTTTTAAATATGTGTTGGGAGCTACAGAAAAGTAGATCCTTGATTTCTGTAAAATTAGTCACCCCACAGCAAGGGTAAAATGCTTGTTAAGTCTAGGAGGTAGCAGAATAAACTGTGGCACTTACCTTTGGCAGACTTCCTCCACACTGCGACTGGTACCCCAAAGCCCCTTCTGTTTAGTGCTTTAGCTGGTGGTCGCACTCAACACATACGATGCAGAACCAATAGTCCTGCATTGTAACATGAGGATAGTGTGGGCCAGTCCACAGCATGGAGTGTTGAAGAGAAGAGGTAAGCCTGCCAGTATGAATAATTAGGCGAGTATTACAGCCTATTCTCCTACCCCTAATGAGCAGATAACCCTATTAATCCCCGAGTTCAGCTTTAATCAATGTTGATTTTTATAAGTAAAGCTGTAACAAACCTGGACAATGACGCACATAACCACAAAATGTGCAAGCAGAGGTTACCTTTATCAAAACTGAAAAAGGATTAGCAGATCCTCCTACTTACTTCCACAGGACATACAGTGCCTTGAAAAAGTATTCATACACCTTGAAATTTTCCACATTTTGTTATGGTAAAAATGTATTTTATTGGGATTTTATGGTGAGCATTTGTATTCAGCCCCCCGGAGTCAATACTTTGTAGAACCACCTTTCACTGCAATTACAGCTGCAAGTCTTTTTGGGGATGTCTCCACCAGGTTTGCACATCTAGGAGAGTGACATTTTTGTCCATTGTTCTTTACGAAACAGCTCAAGCTCTGTCACACTGGATGGACAGCGTCTGTGAACAGCAGTTTTTAGGTCTTGCCACAGATTCTCCATTGGAATTAGGTCTGGACTGGGCCATTCAAACATGAATATGCTTGAGTCTAAACCATTCCATTGTAGCTCTGGCTGTATGTTTAGAATCATTGTCCTGCTGGAATGTGAACCTCCGCCCCAGTCTTTTGCAGACTAACAGGTTTCCCCTCTAAGATTGCCCTGTATTTGGCTCCATCCATCTTCCCATCAACTCTAACCAGCTTCCCTGTCCCTGCTGAATAAAAGGATCCCCGCCTGCAAAACCTAGAGATGGTTGTATCCCAGTAAATAAACGTATCCCCACAATATGATGCTGCCACCACCATGGTGCACGGTGGGGATGGTGTGCTCAGGGTGATGTGCAGTGTTAGTTTTCTGCCACACACAGTTTTGTTTTTAGGCCAAAAAGTTAAATTTTGGTCTCATCTGACCAGAGAACCTTCTTCCATATGTTTGCCCTGTCCCCCACATGGCTTCTTGCAAACATTTTTTTACGGATTTCTTTCAACAATGGCTTTTTTCTTGCCACTCTTCCATAAAGGCCAGATTTGTGGAGTGTACGAATGAGAGTTGTCCTGTGGACAGATTCTCCCACCTGAGTTGTGGATCTCTGCAGCTCCTCCAGAGTTACCATGGGCCTCTTGGCTGCTTCTCTGATTAATGCTATCCTTGCCCAGCCTGTCAGTTTAGGTGGATGGCTATGTCTTGGTAGGTTTGCAGGTGTGCCATGCCCTTTCCCTTTTCGATTGATGGAGTGAACAGTGATCTGTGAGATGTTCAAAGCTTGGGATATTTTTTTGAACCTAACCCGGCTTAAAACTTCTCAACTTTATCCCTGACCTGTCTGGTGTATTCCTTGGCCTTCATGATGCGGTTTGTTCACTAATGTTCTCTAACAACCCTTGAGGGCTTCACAGAACAGCGGATATATTTGTATGTCCTTTTCCATCTTTATAAGTTCTATTACCTTGTTACGCAGAACTTTTGACAGTTCTTTTCTGAGCTCCATGACTCAGTATCTATCCTACTCAGTGCTTCCACGCAAGCGTTAAACTCATGGACTATTTATACACCGACACTAATTGCAATGTAAAAAGCCACAGATGTGGGACATTAACCTCTAATTGGCATTTTAACTCATGTGTGTCACGTGTTGTGTCTGTACCAAGGCCAAACATTCCAGCGTATGTAAACTTTTGATCATGCCCATTTGGGTGATTTCTATTATGATTTATCACACTTCCCCCCCCCCCCCCCCCCCCCTTTATATTAACCTGGTAATCCTGCTGTTAACTCACTTCCTGTCCTAGGGTGATAATACTAAGCATTGTTGCAACCTAGGACAGAGAGTATGTTTAGGTCTCCTCCATAAACGGACAGAGGTATTTTATAGCAGAGATACCAGTTAGCATCTTTTCCTGCTAACAGTCCAGATGTAGAGAGTACAGGGAGTGATCAGCTCACAAGATTTCTGGCTGGAGGAGCAGTAAGAGTAAAACAGATATAATAACATTCTATTATATATTTAAACAGACCATTAAGATACATTTATGGTGTTCACATACACTTTAAAGGAAGAAAACAACAAACGGGTATTTTCTCTCTTAAAAAAACAGTTCACCTTTTGGACAGCAGGGATGCATTCCTAAAAGTGCAAAATCTGCTGTAATTCTGCATAGAAACCAAGCAGCTTCCAGGTTTTATTACCAAAGCTTAACTGAACAAGCTGAAGTTAGAAGCTGATTGGCTACCATGCACAGCTGCACCAGATTCTGAGTGCTCCAGTTTTAGTAAATCTCCCCAATGTTTCATGACACACCCATATTTAAAGGTGCAACATGAAACATTATCACAAAACCCATCCACAAGGCCACATGGTGGCTCCCACCAAACCCCTCAATACATATGCAGAATGAATCTTGGAGAATCCAGTTTCTTTAATGAGGGCCAATGGACCAGCAGCACGATAGCAGCAGAGACTGGCAGCAGGATGGTGATGCCACTACACTTGCAGACCATTCATTATTTCCTCAATCCTCATAACAGAAGACTCATACCCCCATTTATACCCGATACTATGGATTACCAAAGCAGGAGCCTGTGCACTGCACCTGAGATGCACTGATCACGGAGGCAATGCTCTGCAGGCTTGAATGCAACAAATGCATATTTTTTACTATTGGTGCAGCTTTTTTTTCTTTTTTAGACAAGTCCTTTAAAGTAGATCTAAACCCAAATAGTCATACAAGTACACGAAAGTGCTGCACAAACTGATACTGCTATATAAATCCTGAGACTATTCTTAGTAGTAATAATAATGTCTTTATTCCTGGACTTTATTATAATACAGCAGCCCGGTTTCCCTGCATGGTCACCTTCTCACGTGCACACCTAGTGGAGACTGATCATATCAGCCTAAAATCATGCAGGCACAGTCCAAGGTTGTCACCATCAGGAAGCCAGTTGAGAGCAATGATGTGAAACAAGGCTGGATTAGATTAGTAGTACTGATACGAGGGGGGCGGGGGTGGGAAAGGGAGAAGCCAATCTTTTGCAGAAAAAAAACAAAAAAAAACACACAAGGTAATTGTTTGATACAAAGTGCTTTAGCAAAACACAGATTATAGTTAGAATTTAGGTCTACTCATCCAGAAAAGGCATTTTATTACCTTTGTGACCAAAGATCGGGTGTATGTTTAGCTATAAATGCTTTATTTACCCTTGGCCCTGAAGATTATTTATTGGCAAGGCTTGCAGCCTGTCAGCGTAATATTGAAATTATGATGAATAGTCTGCACATATTCAACACATCAGAGAAACAGAATGGCATCAAAGGGAGCCCTCTGCTGATAGCCAGGAGGAACTTCATCACCAACCAGTGCAAGCACAGCATTGGTGTTCAGGATGAATGAGAAAAGGTCCTAATAAGTTTCTGTCCTAGTAAGAGTTTGGAAGGACAATTAATAAAGCATGTATAGAAATGGCAAAACTATTATTTAAAGCAGGCTTTCATCCCTGCAACATACTTACTTTTGTCTGCTTCCTTCCCCTCCATCTTACATACTTTTCACACTTACAAAATACCTTTTTTTGTGCAGCCTGCCAGTTAGTGATAGTGTTGTATGAATTATCATGCTGATTGGATCTGGGACCGGCCAAGACCATTGGCATGTCTGCTTATACAATAAATCCCACTGGGTATCATCATGGGGCTGGCTGTGAAAATGAGACAGCCGGCTCCTGAAGGTATGAAAACAGAGCAGTACCAGGAAAACTTCAACTGCAAGAAATTTGATGCTGAACTCCTTTGTTGAACCCATGTGAACAAAAAGTGAACTGTGAAATCACAACACAAAAAAGTGCTCCGAGGATACAGTATGGCCAATCCTCCAAAGAAAAAGGGCCTCCAACTTTGAACCTTACGGGGAGCAAGGCTGCTGATAGAGAGCAATGTTCCACCTAGTACAAAGCCAAATGGACCACACTCCTTAGGGACCAGCCGAAGTGAGTCCGCGGTATGGAGCTTTCCCGAAGACAGATGTCCCCAGGTGGCGAAAAACAAAAAAGACCCAAAGGCCACAGAACCTACCCTGTATATCAAGGCAGGCTCCCTTGATGACCTGCACCCTTTGTCTCCATGGAAACAAAAAAACGTGTAGTGTAAAATGCTCCTTGAATAAATATGTGACACGAAACAAATAAAAGGGCCATGTGCCCTGGTATAAAAAATTGCCCTGGCTAACTCAGAGGCATACTGCAAGAAAAGCATAAGATGAAATGATTTAGTGCCAGTGAAACACCAAAACGATGTCATCCTATAAGCACAGCAGGGGGTGGGAGGAACTGGAGATCTGCACCAAGAGCTCGAGTCTTTTCATATTAAAAGTTCACCTTTGGGAACAGGTTACATGTTCCACCCTAAAAATGGGTGCAACATGAAACATGTTGCCATAGCCGCAGCCACTGCTTCTCCTTGTACTGTCAAATTTGAAACCAGCACTGCCGTTGGCTGTGACACGCATTCATGGACGTCCGTGAATAAATAAACTGCAAGTCCCAAAAACCTTAGCGGTTGTGGGCTTGTAGTTTTCAATGAACTACTATGGCGCTGTGAAGTGCTGTGGTAGTTCAATGAAACTTCCTGTCAGAATATCTGCTTGCCTGTGCATTCCGTATGGCAGGCAGATAGTCTGATAGGTCTGCAGGAGACCTGCATAGCACCAGCAATCTGCTGATCACTGGTTCAATGCTTTCCAGGCTCCTGTAGACAATTACAATTTTTTTTACCTGCAAAAAAATTACCATTTTTATTTCCATCTAAAAAGGTGAAATTATCCTTTAACACACGGGTAATCACCTGCTTGTTAATATGATCCAGATCCGCAGCTCCTCCCACCCTCCTGCCTTGCCGAAAGGATGATATCGTCATCAGGGAGGAAGAAGGCGAAGGCACATGGGCTGAATCCTGCATCTGCCCTGCCAAAAATAGTACTGTGCAAGGGAGGCAGAGAGCAAAAGGGGGGCACTCTGAGTAGAAAGAAAAGGAGGAGGGGGGAGGGCATGACTGCAAGGGGCACAGTGATGGGGGGCTGTGATTGTTAAAGGCACTGTGATCAATACCATGCCCTTTTACAGTGCAGTCCCCTTTATATCACAGTGCCCCCTTACATTACAGTGTGAAGGACCAACTCCATGAATTTCTCCCCTTCACCAACCACCCCCACAAACAGAGGGACTCAATTCACAAAGCCTAAAGTGGAATTAAACCCCCTTAACCTTTACAGCCAAGGAAGATTCCATCTTAGCCTTTGATTGGCACATATCATGACACCAGCCATTTGATGGCTTGACATTTTGGATTAGAATACAAGAAACTGACAGTTATTCACGGCATTCCTTAAATGTAACCATTTTGGGAAACGGTTGGATCAACTGGTTTCGTTTAGGCTTCGAGACTTTAGATATCGTTCACACCACGATGCAGAGACGCACGTTTTATGCAAGGGCACAAGAGAAACAATTGTTCTCTGTGTCCTGTTCACATCTGCACAGGAATCTGCAACATGTATAAAACTCACTGAAATGCACATAAACACTGATGTAAACTCGTGTCTTCGCAAGTGAAATGTTCATGTTTTTGGGTTTTTTTTTTTTATTAGTTTTTCTGCACATATAGTGTGAACAAGGCCTCAAATACCAGCCTAAAATGGGGTACACACTATGAGAAAAAAAAAAAAAAAAAAAAAAAAAAAAAAAATATGAATAATAAATAAATAAGAAATCGGAAGAAAAATTCCATATGAGGCAAGATTGTTTGATATTCATATAGTGTGTACACAAACTTTCGATTCAGACTTTCCAAGCAAAAATTTCCTAAAAAGGACAAAACATTTTTCTGATATGTAAACAGGACTAATGATTTTTTCGTTTAAAATGTGTACTGTTTACGTATGGTTTTTGTACACAGAAAAATTGGATACGGAAGACTGAATGATCAGAAACAACCGAATTAAAAAAACAAACAAAAAAAAACACACTTTGTCGTATGAGATTGTTCAAACAATTAGTATCATCCTTGGTTTCAACCTGCTGTGAAACATCGAGGGGAAAATTTTTTTTAAAAAAAATGGGTAATCGTTTGTCAGATTTTCTTATAGGGTGTACTGGACTTCTATTGTGTTCTATTTTTAGCCATGTGACTGTAATTTTCTTTTTCACTGCGTTCAACTGAAAATAACGGTCACTTTTTTTAAAACCAAGAATACTTCTCCTGGCGAGTTACCTTTGGGAATTAAGCCTAATAGCGGTTCCAAAATGGCCTGGTCACTGGATGGAGGAAACATATGACCATTCACATACATACATTTTTCACAGGAGTAGTCCTACATAGGTCCTGGTGCTATATTGCACCACTTAAAAGGGTGTAGGGCTACTGCCTGTGAATTTTAAAGGGTTTAACCTTCTATCTACTGCCAATATCACAGAAAACCCATGCTTACTTTAAGTATTTGTGTATGAGTTCCTCTCGAGTGAGCAGGTCCTCTGGGAAGGGAACTGTTGGCATCGTGAACTGGTGCTTCAAAGGGCTCTCCTGGTTGCGATGAAAAGAAGCCTGACAGGTCAAGATGGGGACGCCACCCTGCACGGCTTTTACAGAACGAACACTGAAACTTCGGCCATCTCTTGTCCTCTCCACTTGGTACAACACTGGAATATCGGGGTCCCCTAGTGAATGATGTAATAAGATCAGAGCTGTAAATCCAGGAAGAAATGCATAACTAAATGTAGCTCCAGGCAGGCAGTCTTAGTTCCTCTTTACCTGACACATATAACAAAGTCAGTGATGTTCAATTCCTATCACCTGATGTGCAGCACATGCAGTTCTGGGAGCTGACAAGAATTTTTTTTTTTTTTTAATATACATATAGCCCTGTTGAAAACAATCAGAAAAGTTTAGAGTCAATTGTTGGCTCTCTGGTAAAAGCAATACGAGCAGCTAACTAGTCGCTCGATTGGTTTTACAAGCGGCAGGAGAGCACATCCCACTGCATTCAGCGGGCTGTCCTGTCCTACCGGGACACACCTAATCAACCAGCCAGTGCTTCCTCCGGCTGACCAGAGACGGAAAAAGATAGAAAACAGAAAAAAGCGATCACTTCAGGTTTCCCCGGATGTAAAACGGTGCCATTTTTAAAAATGGAAAGCATTTGATCACACCAATCTGTGTGATCAAATGCTTTTAAGGGCAGAACAAACATCTGGGGTCTTATTGACCCCAGCTCGCTTCATAAGAGTTCCTGACATTGCCTATTGCTGTCACAAGGGATGTTTACATAAAACAAAAAAACCAAAAAACACACACACACACACCCTTTTCCCTCCCCGTACTTGCACGCAAAGGCGAATGCACACATCGGTCCCACAAGCACACAAACAGCTATCGTCCCACACATGTAATGTAAGGTATCACCGCAGAAATCAGATCATGGGTAGTAAGTCTAGCACTAGACCTCTTCTGTAAATCTAAAGTGGTATCCTGTAAAGGCATTTAGAGCCACCTATGGATAGTAAAATTTAAGCTGTTTGTTGCCACTGCAAGACCCCTGTGCAATTTTTAAAAAGTGTGACAGGTTTGGTATCTATTTACATCACCTTTTATATGTTATCAAAAAAATTTAGTTATGTATTGTTTTTTCATTTAAAAAAATAAATAAATAACGGTTTGAAAAACTGCTGTGCAAATACTGTGTGACATGAAAAATTGCAACACCCAACAATGTATTCTCTGCTTTAAAAAAAATTATATAAAATGGCTTGGGGGTTCTAAGAAACTTTCCAGCCAAAAAAAAAAAAAAAAAGGAAGGAAGTTTAAAATCACCATAAAGCACCTTTCAGTTTTAAAAGCCTCACATATTTCTAAAAGCACCTCTGCATTTTTTATTTTTTTAAGTCAGGACCAGTAGATTGTCCTGAGGGACAAATAGTTTGGGACCCCATTTTAGTCCCTTGGACAAGTTTATTTTTTTTTTGTTTTTTTTTACAAATGTCCACACCCCTGAAAGTATAACTTGGTACATGTAGCCTCTTAAAGTAAAATGTGAGCCCAATCACTAACATTTCATATAAAATGTAACAAATTAATGTAATAGTCAATTTTTAAATCATCAGCTTTCATTAAAATGATACTTGGTACCATTAAAGGTCCTTATGTATGCATTTCTGAGAGAACCTGTCTCAGTAGTGCTCCTGCCTTCTCACCTTGTCACAAAAGACTTTCCATGGAACTAAAAAACGGCCATTTTCATGTACTACATAGGGACAGTTCGCTGTTGTAACCATCAGGAAATCTGACCTAAGAAATGCCATGCAGACACCACAGGAGTCCATGTAGATAGGAAGTGGCTGCAATGAGGCTGCAGAAGATAGCAGCACTGACATGCAAAAAAAAAAAAAAAAAAAAAAAAAAAAAAACACACAAGGAGGAGAGCAGGCAGAATGAGGCCATGTGAGTCAATGCTATTACAGCTCAATGGTCACATCAATATAACACATGGCATGGTCATAACTGGAGTAAATGTCAAGGCTATTACTGAAAGGGTGCAGAACAAAGTACAGCAGCAAGCCTGCACATTGCACTATCACAAGGTGCCAATTTATGAAAATATATATCGGATTTTACCAGAGTAGATAAATATGGAAAAAGGAGTATGACGGGGGGAAAAAAAAAAAAAAAAAAAAAAAAAAAATGTAAAACCCTTAGAGATATTATATATACAGATGAATAAAATATCTGCTTTAGCTTTGGTTAGAGCAGGGAAGGGTTAGAGCCTCTGTCAAATATATACCGATGTCTGCGTCCCCATTGGAATAAAATTAGTTTACTAAATCACTATGTATCAGACTATTTGCATTGTTTTCTTTCACAAAATACGTTTTTCATCTCAGTGCTGATCTTCTCCAGGGTCTTTCAGCCACTTTACATGCACACCTCCAGTGTCACATCATTGCTTCCTGACAGTCACAATGGTGAACCATGCCTGCTTTGTTAACCACTTACCTGTCGCTGTATAACAGATATACTGCGGCATGGGTGCGCAAAATCACACACGATTTTGCATTTCCTGGTAGGGGGCACTCCCTCAACCCCCATTCACCGGGTCCTGGGTGGTGATTACCGATAATCACCGACATGGAGGAAGACTATTAAAAAAAAAAAAAAAAAAAAAAACCCAGTCTTCCTCCCTGTCAGCTCAGGCTCACTGCTGCTTGTGTGCTTACAGTGAAGCAAATACCCCTCTGCACCCTAGTGAGACAGTCCCTACATATAGTTAACCCTTTGATCACCCTTCACATTAACCCCTTTCTGCCCAGTGCCATTAGTACAGTGTCGGTGCTGTTCTTTTAGCACGATCACTCTATTGGTGTCACTGGGGATGTCAGTAACATCTAGTCCCCCCCCCCCCCCCCCCCCCCCCCCCCCCCCCCCCAGAATGCCCGCCGCAGTCCCGCAGTAAGTCGCTAATCACCGCCATTACTAGTAGAGAAAAAAGTTGTTTTTTTTTAAATCTCAGTATCTATACACTATATAAAACTTTCATGTAAACCAATTAGTTTACACGTATTTGGATTTTGTTTAGCAAAGACATGTCACAGAATATATTTTGGCCTAAATTTATCATGAAATTAGTTTTACTGGATATGTTTAATAGCAAAAAGTCTAAAATATTATTTTTTCCTCAAAATTGTTGGTCTTTGTTTTGCCTATAGCGAAAAAAAACAAACAAACAAAAAAAAAAATAAATAAATAACCACCCGCACAGGCGATCAAATACCACCAAAGAAAGCTCAATTCATGGGGGGGCATAAAATTCATCTTGGTGCGGCGTTGCATGACCACGCAATTGTCAGTTAAAGTAACGCACCACAGTGATGCAAAAAATGTCCTGGTCAGGAAGGGGGGGGGGGGGGGTAAATCCTCTGGAGGGCAAGTGGTTCATTTATGCTGTATCCCAGGCCTTGTTTACACCAACAGCAGTCCCTAGCTCCTCTCTGAAAAAAGCCATTCTGCAGTGGATCATTTTTCAGAGGGTAGCAGAGCAGTGCCTTCCAGCCGTTCAGCAGCAACTACTAAAGCCTCCTGAATACAATTTTTTACTTTTTTTCCCTCTCTTCTTCCCAAACAGGGATTTTACATGTAATTACTGTGCTGCAACCAGGAGACAAACAGTTGTCTTGTGGCACAGTCCTACAGACTTCAACTGGTGAGTCTGACAAGACAGTGCCACGTCAAACTCATCATAGCATGTGTATGGCTCCCCACAGCTGCATGTTATGTTTAAAGCCAGCCTTACATGGGTTGAATTGACAGAAAATTTTCCATTTGAATTTTACACCATTAGTGAGTCAGAGAAACACCCACCGATTTTCATGTGACCAGTGAATCTGAGTGATCAGGCATGTTGGAAATTTTTTGAAATACGAATGAATTTCAAATCAATGATGGGAAAATCGTGCGAGAAATATAAAATGAAAAAGAAATGAGCATGAGCCGAGATCTGGAAAGAAAAGATTCTTTGCTGTGAAAATTCTTTTCTGTAGAAACATGAAGTGAAATTGAAGGCTTGGTTGGTTGAATTTCAAAATCAATGGTGGCGCCATCGGATTACAAATTTGGACGAAATTTACTATTTTCTAAAGAAAATGTGTTCGGAATTCAACCCATGTATGACCTGCATAAAATCGGCGGTCAAATCACATCTCAACTGTCTGATTGTACCACTTGTGTAAACAAGGCCTTATGGATTAGTACACACGACGAGGGGGAAAAAAAAAAATATATATATATATATATATACACACATACATACACACACACACACACACACACACCTTTCAAAGCGATAATCCGATAGTCAGTACACAACTTTCAAGAGCCGATCATGACAGTTCATGCAAAATGAAGGGACAAGCACGAAAAATGTATCTTGTACGATAACAGAACAAAAATGTTTTGTTTAGTCAGTACAGTATTTGTCAGAAGGAAAAAAAAAAAAAAAAAAAAAAAAAAAAAAAAAAAAGGGGAGTCGAGTGAGCAAGACTGTACATGCTTGGAAAGAAAAAAAACCACATTACATCATCACGGGACTTTGTATTCCGTGTTACGAGACTTTACAATGAGAACACACACACACCTTTAGAGCAACGAAGACCCAGACACAGTATTTTTACAGAGAGGACAGTAGTAGGATTTTGTTACAAACACTGCTTCTTGAGCTATTCTTTTTTTTTTTTTAATTTTTATAGTGCCTAAGCGTTCTGTCATAGGTTTACTGCAGATTGGTTTAATCTCATTTGTGCCCGCATAACATTGGAGCGTTGTTCACAATAACAATATATATTTGGGTTGGGATGGGTTTTGGGTCACCTGCTCGTACGAAGTAGCAGTGTAAGGAGTGGACGTTTTCCTCCTCAGGTACAGAGCTGGCAGCTGCCACCAGAGCTTGTCCAACGATCTGTCCACCAAACAGTCTCTTGGTGACGGGTACCCAGTGATGGGAGCCTCTGTAACAAGAACAACACTTGTGAATTGCATGTCATATACAGTAGGCAAAGACCTACCTATCTGTGTGTATCCAGCTTTGAATGTCCTTCATTTGTGTGCAGTGAATGGCTGCCAACATTAAATTGAATGTAAACCCTTACATATACCCAGCAAAGTGAATGGCGTAAGATGAAACAAATCCTCCTACATAAGATGTACCCATTTATCTGTAGCCGTCTGCTCCCTACATTTATTCAAAGTGCAGAATTTATACAGATATCTCAGTTCTGAAAAAAAAGCAGAGGGTGGGGAGCTGAAGATACATCAGTGGGGAGAGCCTCGAGAGCTGATTGGAGAGAAAAAAACAAAAACAAAAAAAACACACACCACTCCCCTCTTCACATAGCACACAGGAACAGGAAGCTGAGGTTGTCAATCAGACTGTGCCCTCCCCGTCACCATTTTTCACTTGGTGTCAGATAAACTCACCAGAAGACAGACAGACGCACACGTCAAGAGCATAATGTGCATCTCATACTAGCATATTATGAAAGACTTGCCGGGAAAAAGGAAGCCCTCCAGCGGAGTGTTGTCACGCTCTCCCGAGGCTTCCATCTTCACCCAGTCTTACTTCAGAGTTCACAGGCTAAGGCCATTTGAATACACTATACAATCTGATTGTGCAATCTCCTTTACATCTACCAACAATTATGTAACAATTTGTTGTATACACCGGGCACTCCCCACGCCGTAAACCCACTATGTGTACCCCGGGCACTCCCCACGCCGTATACCCACTATGTGTACCCCTGGGCACTCCCACGCCGCACACCCCCTATGTGTACACACCGGCACTCCCCACGCCGCCGTATACCTCCAAAACGCATTGACTCCTGCTGCCTTCCTCCTCCTGGGTAAATGCACCTTTCTCCTACCTCCACTCTTAACTCCAAAACGCATTGACTCCTGCTATACTCAGAACAAATGGTGTATTTATATTTTTGTATATATTGACCAGCTCTCACCTTCAGCTGCACCCGTTTTACGAACTGGTGTCTGTTTCCTGAGAGAATCATCCCCCACTCCTCATGTGATCTTTATCAGCTTCTAATTGGGGGGTGGAGTTGAATGCTCATTTGAGCATCTCCCTATAAATTTAGATCAGCTCATGGGGGAGATCTCTGATGGGGGGCACAGTCTGATGGGGGTGCTGCTTCAGATTGAGTGCGGCTTGAACGAGTGCGTAGAAGAAGCAGTTAAACGCAGCAGTTGAACTGAAGCAGGAGAACCCAAGCAGCAGGAAGACACAACAACAGCAAGAAGCTCTACTGCATGCTGGAAGACTGCAAGCAAACACCCTGGGAAACCTCTTACATGCCTGAGACCCACTCCGTGTACCTTTATATAATACACCCCTCTTCTCCTCTTCATATTACTATCCTCTGTTCCCACATCTCATTTCTCTTACCCCTCTGCTCCACCCCACAACCTGTACATCTCCCCCTCACTGCTATCATCTCCCTACTACTGCTCTCTTCACCTCCCCCAAAATGTCTCTTCCACTCCTCCTTCTCATTTTCCTCTCCTCCGTTCCCAAAATCCATTCATTATATCCCTCTGCCCCTTCCAAACATTTGTATATCGTGTCCTCACTGCTTCCCTCACCCCTCTATGGCACCCACCACCTCCTCCTATTACTCCCACTCTCCCACTGACCCCAACACCTCCACTAGGAGTTTCTCACGCTCCTGCACATCCCGCTCCCATGCCACCTTTCTCACCCTTCTCCTCCTCCTAGCCGCGGGGACATCTCCCCGAATCCTGGCCCCCACCTCCCTCACCCGCTCAACACCCTCGACCGCCTCCACATCCTACTGCAACCCCCACAACTTAGTATCTGTCCCCCTGCTCCCTAAAATCTCCCCCCCGTTTTCATGTGCACTCCTGAACGCCCGTTCGGTGTGCAACAAGCTTACCGCCATCCACGACCTCTTTGTTTCCCGCTCCCTCAACTCCTAGCGATCACGGAAACCTGGATCCAGCTCACTGATTCTACCTCCCCCCCCTGCTGCACTCTCCTATGGAGGTCTCACCTGGACCCACTCACCCAGGCCTAACGGTCGTAAAGGTGGTGGGGTTGGTCTGCTCCTGTCACCGCAGAGCACTTCCGAGTCCTCCCAAACCCCCCCTCCCTATCCTTCTCCTCCGAGGCCACTGCCTCCGACTATTCTCCCCAACCCCCCTGAAGATTGCTGTGATATACCGGCCTCCTGGATCTATACCCCGCTTCCTGGATGACTTCTCCCCTGGCTACCCTTCTTCCTCTCCTCTGAGCTACCCACCATCATTCTTGGGATTTCAACATCCCTGTCAACCTCGACAACCCGGACCACAGCCCGTCTCCTCCACCTAACCCTCCTCCTTTGCACTTGCACAGTGCATACAATCCACCACCCACTCCGACGGAAATATCCTGGACCTTGTCTTCTCCAACCGCTGCGCTCCCCACAACCTCACTAACACCCCCCCCTTCCCTCTCTGACCACAACCTGATCACCTTCTCTATCTCCTCGTCCTCCAACGCCTACCCCTCCAAATGTCACACTACTACCAGCCGGAACCTCCGCAACCTTAACCCTGCCTCCCTCCACTCTGCAGCTGATCAACTCCACGACCGCATCCTCCCCCTGTCCTGCCCCGACTTGGCTATGACCGCCTACAACAATGCGCTCTCAACAGCCCTTGACTCACTAGCGCCTTTAACCACACGCAAATCAGACCCCGACCGCTCCAGCCCTGGCAGACTGATCACACCCAAAACCCTCAAACGACACAGTCGTGCCCTGGATAAGCGACTATGGCGCAAAACCAAATCCCAACAAGCCTTCACCCGCTATAAATCTGCCTTCCGCACCTACACCTCCTCCCTCCATGCCCAAAACCAAACAGGCCTACTTCTTGACCCTCATCAAGGCCCCTCTCCTCCAATCCTCGCCGACTCTTCTCTGCCTTCAACTCTCTACTCTCTCCACCCCCACCTCCACCCAGCACCTCACTCACTGCCCTTGAGATTGCCAATCACTTCAAAAACAAAATTGACACAATTCGCAAGGACATTGCCGCAACTCACACGCCCTCTCAACCCGTCCCCCCTCTCACACAGTTACCCCCTTATCCCCCCTCCCCCTCGACATAACCCGCAGGGACTTCGTCGCTGCTCAAACTCTCTCCAACCCCCTTCACCCCTTCCTCCTCCCCCCCTACCTCCCCCCCCCCCCACCCCCCCCCCAATCTCTCCCTCTCCCCCAGCCACTTTCCCCTCCCCCCTGAAACCCACCGAAACTGCCTTACTCAAACTCTCCAACGACCTGCTAACCGCCAAAGCTAATGGCCACTATTCAGTGCTCCTACTCCTTGACCTCTCTGCGGCCTCGACACAGTCGACCACCCCCTTCTCCTCAAAAAACTACACTCCCTCGGCCCTCAGAGATTCTGCCTCTCCTGGCTCTCATCCTACCTGTCACACAACGCTCCTTCAGCGTTACCTATAATGCTACCACCTCCCCCCCTCACTCCCCCTCTCTGTTGGGTCCCTCAAGGCTCTGTCCTCAGGCCCCTTCTCTTCTCCCATCTATACCTCCTCCTTGGCCAACTCATACACTCTCACGGCTTCAACTACCACCTCTATGCCGACGACACACAAATCTATCTCTCAACCCCCCACCTCACCCCTTGGTCTCAGCCCGAATCACTCACCTACTGAGCGACATATCAGACTGGATGTCGCTCCACTTCCTTAAATTGAACCTCTCCAAAACCGAGTTTCTTGTCTTCCCCCAGCCCCGGACACCACCCCCCATTGATTTCTCCATCACATCCAACAACGCTACCATCAAACCCGCCCTGCAGGCCAGAGTACTGGGTGTCATTCTGGACTCCAACCTATCCTTCCAGCCCCAAGTCCAATCTTTAACAAACTCGTGCAGACTCCACCTCCGCAACATCGCCAAAATGCGCACGTTCCTAACCCCAGAAACCACTAAACAGCTCATCCACTCCCTCATCATATCACGACTCGACTACTGCAACTCCCTCCTCACTGGCCTGCCTCGCCGCTGGCTATCCCCTCTTCAGTCCATCCTGAACACGGCTGCCAGACTCATTCACCTTTCCAACCGCACTGTCTCCGCCACCCCCCTCTGCAATCCCTCCACTGGCTTCCAATTGCGCAACGGATCAAATTCAAAATCCTAACGCTGACGTACAAAGCTGTCCACCATACTGCCCCGAACTACATCACTGACCTAATATCCAAGTACCGCCCAGCATGCACACTCCGCTCCTCACAAGACCTCCTTCTCTCTAGTTCCCTGGATCTCCTCCTCCCATGCCCGCCTCCAGGACTTCTCCAGGGTGTCACCCATCCTCTGGAACTCCCTGCCCCAACCCATCAGATTATCACCTACTCTCCTCTCCTTTAGGCGCACCCTGAAAACCCATCTCTTCAGGGAAGCCTACCCCACCCCCTGCTAACTTGCCGACCTCCTCCACTCTTCCTACCACTCCATCCCCCACAGCTATCTCCTCCTGTGCCACCCCCCCTCCCTCCTAGATTGTAAGCTCAAAAGAGCAGGGCCCTCAATCCCCTCATGTTTTGCATTGTATTGGTATTGTTCTGTCACATGTTCTGTCACCCTTTTGTAATGTACAGCGCTGAGCGAACTATTGGCGCTTTATAAATACTGTATAATAATAATAATAATAATAATAATAATAATAATGTGTACACCGGGCACTCCCCACGCCGTATACCCCCTATGTGTACACACGGGCACTCCCCGCGCCGTATACCCACTATGTGTACACCGGGCACTCCCCGCGCCGTATACCCACTATGTGTACACCGGGCACTCCCCGCGCCGTATACCCCCTATGTGTACACCGGCACTCCCCGCCGCCGTATACCCCCTATGTGTACACCGGGCACGCCCCGCGCCGCATACCCACTATGTGTACACCGGGCACTCCCCGCGCCGCATACCCACTATGTGTACACCGGGCACTCCCCGCGCCGCATACCCACTATGTGTACACGGGCACTCCCCGCGCCGCATACCCACTATGTGTACACCGGGCACTCCCCGCCGCGCCGCATACCCACTATGTGTACACCGGGCACTCCCCGCGCCGCATACCCACTATGTGTACACCGGGCACTCCCCGCGCCGCATAACCGGGGGGCCACCCACTATGTGTACACCGGGCACTCCCCGCGCCGCATACCCCCTATGTGTACACCGGGCACTCCCCGCGCCGCATACCCCCTATGTGTACACCGGGCACTCCCCGCGCCGCATACCCCCTATGTGTACACCGGGCACTCCCCGCGCCGCATACCCCTATGTGTACACCGGGCACTCCCCGCGCCGTATACCCCCTATGTGTACACCGGGCACTCCCCGCGCCGTATACCCACTATGTGTACACCGGGCACTCCCCATATCCCTATGTGGACACCGGGCACTCCCCATATCCCTATGTGGACACCGGGGCACTCCCCATATCCCTATGTGGACACCGGGCACTCCCCATATCCCTATGTGGACACCGGGCACTCTCCCATATCCCTATGTGGACACCGGGCACTCCCCATATCCCTATGTGGACACCGGGCACTCCCCATATCCCTATGGACCACGGACACCGGGACACTCCCCATATCCCTATGTGGACACCGGGCACTCCCCATATCCCTATGTGGACACCGGGCACTCCCCATATCCCTATGTGGACACCGGGCACTCCCCATATCCCTATGTGGACACCGGGCACTCCCCATATCCCTATGTGGACACCGGGCACTCCCCATATCCCTATGTGGACACCGGGCACTCCCCATATCCCTATGTGGACACCGGGCACTCCCCATATCCCTATGTGGACACCGGGCACTCACCACACGCCGTATACTCCCAGGTGGACACCGGGCACTCACCCAGCCGTATACTCCCAGGTGGACACCGGGGCACTCACCCAGCCGTATACTCCCAGGTGGACACCGGGCACTCACCCAGCCGTATACTCCCAGGTGGACACCAGGTAATGACACATACTGTCTATAGGCACAGCCAGCCCCCTGTCCAGTCACACGGCCCCCTGTCCAGTCACACGGCCCCACCCCCTCCCCCAGCAGCACCTGAACAGGTCCTTGTCGAGCGGCTCCAGGTTGAGCACACTGGTCACCAGCACACTCCTTAGGTCCCGAGGCTTCTTCCCCTCCGGCTCCTCCAGCACGTCCTCCGGCTGCAGATACCCGGCCATCCTCCCCGCTGTGCTCCCTGAGCCGACCCTTGGACTGCATTCAGCGAACCCCGCCCACCGGCACACGGGTGAACAACGAGCCGGAAGTGACGGAAGACAACATCCTCTACCTCCTGAACCAATCCGGGATTGGAAAGTCGGTTATGGGTGGGTGGGCTCAGCCTGAGTATAAATACTATAGGAAAGGCGTGGCCAAAGCCCAACGTTCTCCATTCTGGGCTCGGGTGTCATTGTTTGCAGTGGTTTGGTTTTCTCAGCAATACAGGAAAGCGAGGTATCGATGGTGTGTGCAGGGAACCAGTACAATCTGCCCTCTGAATGTAACACCAGGAGAGCTCCATACTGAGGACAGACAGGGAGGGGTACAGTGTGTTAGTGGTCCTTCCATCCCAACAAGAGGATGTGTGCAGGGCCCTCCTCCAGGATCAGGAAGTCCTAGATCTCCATCCTCCCAATCCTCTCCATAAACACGATGGATGACGTCTCCATGGGCGATGTGTGTACACGAGGATACGACCAATCTGTGACCAGCTATCGTCTGTGATCACAATGTACTGATATAAGATCGACTGACACTTCCCGTCACCTCCGCCACAGGACACCGATTTGTCTTTGTAACCAATCAGCTTGCACGTCTTATTCATTGAAGAGCCTGGCGGAGCGCGAGGTTCTCCAGTATGCAGCGCGGAACCTGCTTCATCAACTATGAGGATTTCCGGAATGCTTCGATTCCTACAAGAAGGAGACCAAGCTGAGTTTTTTCATGCTCAGAGCTGCGTATCGTCCAGCAGCACAACCTCAAGCATGGCACTGATATCCGCGAGGACATCATGTAAGAATCCGCACTGGTAGTATGCTGGGACAGGGGTCACTCCACCCAAAACTGGTGGGTTTTTTATTTAGTGGTTTGGCGGGGTGACAGTGAAAAGCCTAGCACTGACGAGTTGGTTCATCTTTACAGAAAAAAGGTGAACTAACACCTCACTGCCTTCCTTGGGCCCTGCTGTACTTACCTCCAGGGGTGCCCAGCTGTCAGTGCCCATGCAGCTGATCCCTCTTCTCTGTGCAGCGCTTCCAGGATGGCCAGAGGTTCTGATTGGTCAGGAAAATACACTGATTCACTCTGCTCAGTCCCGGAAGTGTTGCACAGCGAAGAGGGGAAAAAGAGGTGTGTGTGTGTATACATGGGCTTACAAGCACCTTAGAGTAGTTCTAAAGCCTCAGTATTTTTAACCGTAATGCATTCCTTGCATAAAGCGGAGTTCCACTCGCTCTGTAAAAAAAAATAAGTCAGCAGCTACAAAAACTGTAGCTGCTGACTTTTAAAAAACAGCCACTTACCTGCCCTATGATCCCACGATGCCCCGCCGCAGGCCGTTTCACCGGCCATCCTGTATTCCAGGCGCCGGCTCTTCAGTATGGGCACCCGGCTGTCCACAGCTTGCGGCTTCATAGCCGGCTGCCCACTGCGCTGCGCTTCCTAAATGGCCCCGTTGTCTTCTGGGACCTGTCACGTGTCCCACAAAACTTCGGGGAGGGAAGGAGAGACAACTTCCGTCTCCGATCGCCTAGGCGATCGCAGTGGGAGCAGGTACCTGTTCCCTCCCGCTCCCCAAAGGTGCCAATCCTTAATGGGGAGCGGGGGACCAATCTTTAAGCGGAACCTCCCCTTTTGGGTGGAACTCCGCTTTAACGTGTTACTAAACCCACAACAGTAAAAATCTGTCTGTATATGCAGTAAAGCATGCTTGTTATACTCTGTGGAAACCTAATTGGTTAATCCTCCGCACTGTGTAAAAAAGGCTGTTTGATCCCTGCCCTTCTTCTGCTGTCCCCATCCATCTGCTGATAGTACAGAGCTCTGCACATGCTCATTAGTGTG